AATTTTGTCTATAAATCAAATTTTAATAAATTCATAACTAAGCCAAAAATGCATTAAATTTAAATCGGAGAGCTGTAATATGTTAGTTTTTATTAGGTTTATAATTCTACATACTAAATTTCAAAATTAACAGATTTTAAATTTTTACCAATTTTTGACAGTTTGAATGATGTCAAATGATCATAAAATTTTGGAAAAAAAATCGTCAAATTTTTTTTCTTGTCGAACATGGCTAGATCGACTCGGCTGATCATGCTGATCAAGAATAAAAATGATTTATAGGGTCGGAAATGATTCTTTCACATGATACAAGCTTCCGACTAAAATAAAACTAGCCTTTTTTGAGTCGATATTTATCTATATTTTATATGACAATTTTGTCTATAAATCAAATTTTAATAAATTCATAACTAAGCCAAAAATGCATTAAATTTAAATCGGAGAGCTGTAATATGTTAGTTTTTATTAGGTTTATAATTCTACATACTAAATTTCAAAATTAACAGATTTTAAATTTTTACCAATTTTTGACAGTTTGAATGATGTCAAATGATCATAAAAGTTTGGAAAAAAAATCGTCAAATTTTTTTTCTTGTCAAACATGGCTAGATCGACTCGGCTGATCATGCTGATCAAGAATATATATGATTTATAGGGTCGAAAATGATTCTTTCACATGATACAAGCTTCCGAGTAAAATAAAACTAGCCTTTTTTGAGTCGATATTTATCTATATTTTATATGACAATTTTGTCTATAAATCAAATTTTAATAAATTCATAACTAAGCCAAAAATGCATTAAATTTAAATCGGAGAGCTGTAATATGTTAGTTTTTATTAGGTTTATAATTCTACATACTAAATTTCAAAATTAACAGATTTTAAATTTTTACCAATTTTTGACAGTTTGAATGATGTCAAATGATCATAAAATTTTGGAAAAAAAATCGTCAAATTTTTTTCTTGTCGAACATGGCTAGATCGACTCGGCTGATCATGCTGATCAAGAATATATATGATTTATAGGGTCGAAAATGATTCTTTCACATGATACAAGCTTCCGACTAAAATAAAACTAGCCTTTTTTGAGTCGATATTTATCTATATTTTATATGACAATTTTGTCTATAAATCAAATTTTAATAAATTCATAACTAAGCCAAAAATGCATTAATTTTAAATCGGAAAGCTGTAATATGTTAGTTTTTATTAGGTTTATAAATCTACATACTCAATTTCAAAATTAACAGATTTTAAATTTTTACCAATTTTTGACAGTTTGAATGATGTCAAATGATCATAAAATTTTGGGGAAAAAATCGTCAAATTTTTTTTCTTGTCGGACATGGCTAGATCGATTCTGCTGGAATGATTCCTTCACTGCAATAATAGGTTTTGAATAAAATTATAACACCCAACGGGAGTAAGTAAAATCGACATAAATTTAAGGGCAAACGGTAAAAATGACTTTTAATATAATGGAATAATGGACCAAAATACCCTTTAAGATATAATTTATTTTTAAAACCAAATATATTTGTATCAAATACGTTTTTTTATAGTGTACATATAACACCGCATCTAATTCAGTTGGCATTCCAAAAATTAGTCTCGAGCAGCGAAATTCTCACAATTCTATTGTTTGTCGTGAGTTGTTAACCAGAAAACACAAAAACACAACGCACTCCTACAAATAAACTCGGCTTGGCAACTGCAACAACCGAGCCGTCAGGGGCATTGAAAATACATAATAATTTGTGTTGTTTTTATTTTGTTATTTAGTAAACAAAACACGGCACGAAACGGCTCTCTATTAACGGCGAAACTGCAGTCGAAGCAAAAAAAAGCGAAAATAGATGGCAGCTATGGAAATAGAAAACGCAATAAGCAAATAAACAAACAATTAGCACTATGCTAAGTAAGACAACAACAAAAAATTAAACTAAAATGTAGTGTAAAGAGCGGCAGCAGAGAAGCCGGCAGAGCCCTTTGGGTTTGCGTTTTCCAAGCGGGTCAACTTGTCATAATGATTTACGTGCAAAAACTGGCGACGACTAACAATGACACCTGTACAGTGGCACAAACACAGTGCGGTTTAATTGAATAGAAGTACAAGGAGAAGATTATATTTAAGATATTAATCTAGTCTTAATAAATACTCCACTCTACTCTACTCAATGAAGCTACTAGTAGTCAAGAAATATTAGACTAGTACACATTTTCACACAACATTTTATTTAGTCAAATAAACTGTCGCCTCACAAACTATTTTCTTTGTATTCCTTAAAAAGCCAAAATATAGTTTCTATTATTTTAAAAACAGCTGTGTCCACATTAACGCACCCACAGAGGCAAACACAAGTACACCCACTAGCCACACACACACACACACACCCATTTGTGTTTTTATTAGAATTGTTATTATAATCGCCGCGTGCATACAAATACAGGCACAGGCGACAATGCAAGTCGTGTACAAAAATTCTCTTGTCAAGTGCAGTCGGGCGAGTGTTGTGGCAGTTGCACCTTCGGAACTTGCAATACCCTCTACAACAAGAAAGGTATTACAAATTCTCATAAGCACTATCCTTACTTTTATTCACTATAATTGCCTTCAAGTTATTACATGAATTAATATTAGTTTGCAGAACTATTATGATATTATTGCTTATACTTTCCTAGGGTATAAACACTTCGTTATATCCAAAGTTAGCTACCTTTTTTGGTTGTTATCGCTGCACTTGCTCAACTTGTGGCTGGCATGGCTGATGGCCATTGTTGTGGCAACTGCAGCTGGCAAGGCAAACAAGCCGAATACAAATCGAGCCGGCTAATTTGAGCGGAAAATAGAAGACGGAAATGGGAAAAAGGAAAAATGGAGAATGAAAAATGAAAACTATGCAACACCCACTCAGCTGAGAATTGAAATTTTCTCGCGGTTGGCAATAAGAAAATGTGCTTGGGAAATAACCTTAAGAGGTGCGCCACACACACACACCTGTGCCCAATGGACCAATAAAATATGCACTGAGCACTGCTGCCATCGAATGTGAAAGGCTTTCCTTCCCCCAAGGAGGGCCAAGCTCTCAAATAGAAAGCCTGCGCTTTAAGAGAGAGAGATCTTTTAATATTTCACTGATCGACTTATCGCTCTTTAACGACCATTAATCACCGATTCCTGCCAGGCGGATAATCTAAGCTGCGACTAACGTGGGCGGCCTTTCACCCAGAGCCAGGAAAATCCAGCTCAGATTTCAGCAGCGAAACCACTTCAGATCCATTCACTTGGTAACATGCATACATGGTGAGTCTGGTGAGTCTCTTGGTCACTTTTGTGGGTCATGTGTATAAGCAGCAAAAAAGGCAGCCGTAAACTGCATAATCAGCAAGTGCCACAAGCTATAGTAGTAGTAAACCAAACATGAACCGCCAGTCACATTTAAATCAGCGCCAAATTGGGTAATGAGTGCACAGGAAGAAATATATATGTATTTATAATATCAAAAAAGAATATTGAATATTGATATTAATAAAAACTTCAAGGATGGGATACTAATTAAATTGTATTGAAAACTGGCAAAAACTATATTTAGATTAATATCTTTTAGAAATATTTAAACTGATTTTGTTTTCTAAAACATATATAAATTAAAACATAGATTTTATTTTCTGTGTGGTAATGCAATATAGCTGCAAAAGTTGCTGAATTTCGCTTTGCCAGGCAAGTGAAATTGAAACCTTTGAACGGAAATGGGAAGCGCCTCGACGACGTCATTGTCGATAATATTCCATTGGGGGCTGTGAATGAATTTGGCGAGTTGTATTCAGTTTGTTGCCATGGTTATTCGTAAATTTTTAAAGTGGAGGGAGAGTCTTGAAAAAAGGTTTTCCCCTCTCTGCAGCTGATTTTCTTATTTAAGTTATATTCCGTACACATAATTTGTTTTCATTTATTACGATACCCCCAGTCGACGAGCTGCACTTGACTCCAATTACTGTTGACTGTTTACGGATTTATGCTTGCTTGAGCGGAAAACACATATATGTGTGTATGGGGGTTGCATTGAATATATGACAGAAGTTTTGACTTGGAAAAAAGTTATTAAAAAGTCGGCTGCATCTTCGTTTGTTTGAGGAAAACACTTGTAGTGTAGGGCAACATGAAACGAGCAGCGTAATACGGATGTTGCATGCGCCGTGGAGATAAGACAATGCAATTGTTTGCACTTAAATTGAGTTTTGAATCGTTGAAGGTCTGTAATGCAGAGCAATTTAAACAATAAAAGAGCAGGAAGAAGGAGGAGGCTTTAATGGAAAAATTACACAAGAAAAGTTCAAATGAATAGGGGTTCAGTGAATTGTCTTAGATTTTTCAATCATTTTGACCGTTTAAAAATTAACTTGATGTTGTTAAGTCATCAGGAGAGTGGTTTGAATAAGATCTAGCTTAAGTCTGTGATTAAACACACATACATAATAATAGCTTTGCTACTGATTATTATAATAAAGTTTAATGAGAACTGCATTCAGCAAGCAAATTAGTAATAACTCAATAGTCACTACGGATGATAGCTCGACATTTTGTGTAATTAGGTTGATAAACCCACGCCAAGGGAGAAAGCTTGGTGCGTCATCCGATATGCTGATTCAGTTGCAGGCTCAACCCAACCGCAGATACACACAGACACCGTTGATACCCAGTCCAATCACTGACATAGATGCAATTATTATATGCAATTGTTGCCACATCAGCTGCATTGCGTGTGGCACCAAATGGGTGATGGATATCGAGACCACAATGGGGCGGGCAGCCGCCTCCCTCAATCACTCTGTCATTCAATCACTGCAATCAACGGACACGTGCTGTTCCAACTAAAGCCTTAAATCGAATTCAGAAACAACAAAATCCACGGTCTATCAATGCCACTTGTTGCATGTTTATTGGGATATATATTTTCCTTCGGATAATCGGATTTGTATTTGAAGCTTGTGAACTTACCATTGCGTGAAACATCGAGCTCGACGAGATTTTCAAAGTTTTGTATATCCGGCGGCAGGCGGCCAATTTCATTGTCACTCAGTCCCAGCTTTCTCAGGCGATGCAATCTGAAGAAATTCTGCAAGCACGGAAGAGAGAAGAAACAAGATTTAGACCTCAGCACGACTCTCAAGAGCCTTTCGAGACAAAAGGCATTGCATCTTAGTTTAGTTCGCTTTTTCGTTCGTGGTCATAAATCTCCCAGAGGTTGTCATTTGTTAGAGCCGTGACCCGTCCACCATCAAGTCAGTTTACCATTAGAATCACCCAGGATTGACTCCTCCTCCTCCTCCTGCTGCAGTCGAGCTTTCCTTTTGCCCCAGACAGAGGAGACATGTCGCCAACAATTCATTTATGAAAATCACGACTTTGATTCGAATTTCGAAATAAATTATGTTGGCGCTCTGCGGACTTTCCAAAGTGAAGGGAATACCTATTCCTATTCCTATATACCTTTGCCCGTACTCCATCTGACCTTCCTGCAATGTGGAGTACTCATCTTGGAAAGAAAGTTACCGAGTCGCTGAGTCATAGACCTCAAGGTTAACAGCCCCAGTGGACGACGCTGCTGCTTTCGGTTCTGCCAGCGCGATTTTTATCGGCCATTGTTGTTGCCTCTTTCTTGGGGCGACCCAAGCCCCAACAACAATTCCAACAAAAAGAAAAATGAGCAGCGCCGCCACCAGAATAATGAAAATAATTCGTAGTTGTGGCCGTAAAGTTTATTAAATTCTTTCTATTTTTTCTTATTTTTGTGTTGTGCTCTTTGTTTGTCCCACATGACAATAGAAGTGCCGGCCAAGTGCTGGGAGTTGTTGACCCAGTTTTTTGGGGGCACTCTGAGCCAGCGAATTCCGCACCTCGGACAAGGCCTGCGCCTGCCGCCAGCTTTTGGCCATATTTGGTCTAACAAATCGAGAGGAATTTAAGGAAGGGCAGCCCATAAATGCATGTGGATTCGGAGACATACGATATTATATGAAAGTGATTTACTCAAGTTTTAAATTTTAATAAAGAGAAAAAAAAACAGTTATGGAAAGATATTTAATTAAAAAAATACAATTTATACAAAATGTATTAATATTTAAACACACTCTCAAGTCTGATTACTTATATTCCTGAAGTAATTTCATTAAATAATCGTGTTTATTACACATTTCACCAAGAAAGAAACAAAGAAAATCTGGGTATATAAGATAAATAGCAAATACAACATAATTTCAAGATACTCCTACTTAAATTTAATGAATTTCCCTCAGTGCAAGTTTCTTGGAAAGTCAATGTCAGAATAACCATTGGCTTGTCTAATGAACAAGTTGGGGCCCGTTTAGAGACAAAGCGGCTTAGACTCCATTAGTGTCAGCTGCATTGCTTTCGTTCCTTTTGGCCACCTACAATGGCCATGTTCTTTTCCCTATTTATGCAAACAGAAAAAGCGAAAAGCCTTTCAACAAATCATGCGTCAAAAAGTTGCAACTGTCAGCGACAAAGGCAGGCGGAAAAAAAATGCAGGAAGACAGCAGTGTCGACCGAAAAAAGGAAAAATGAACAAAAAAGAAACACAAACGAAGCTTGCATATGAAAATGGCCCAAAGGGGGTGGCAACAAAACATTGGGCCAGAAGGTAGCAACGGGGCGGAGATGGACTGGCCGAGAGTGCAACACAAAGGCGGAGAAACAAAACGAGGACAAGGCATGACGACAATAAAAATGAATGCGAATTGCAAACTTTTCGCCAAGTGCTGGCACAAAAGATACCCAAACCACCGCCGCCCCCCCTCTCTTGGCCCAAACAAACCAACCCACGCTGCAGCATTACTGTGTGTGAGTGTTGTGCACGTACATGTACATGTCTTGGCCCGTCACTCTCCTTGCTTGGCCATAAATTACCGGCCGGCAGACCGGCCGGCTTATAGCCATGAGTACAGAGCACGGAGCACCGAGTACTACCAGTTTGTCTGCCACTCGAGAGCACACACACACGCACACACGCTCCGGGATAGACTCACTCACTCAGCCAGCACACTTTTACTATTGTATCTAGTCGAAGCAGGCGCCCAGCAAGTGGCAGTAGCCGGCTTTTAGCCTGGCCAACAACAACAACGGCTGTTCGTTCGCATCGGTTGCATCACCGAACAACGAGCGACACAACACTGTATGAGCTGCATGTGCATAATTCGATTTTAAGCATAGTTACTTTATCTGGTATGGCCGTAAGCGAAGCTCTCTAACAAAAACAATTCAATTTGCCTTTGTTAAGAGGCCCAGGTCCCGGCCTGGTCGGTTGGAAAACCAATTTGTGCTGCCTAAAAGCCATACTAATGGAGCCTGGCTCGGCCAATTCCTAATGGCCAGAATATAATGCAATTCGTGGGGAGTGCGAACTGAACCATGACCCGTGGTGCGCTTCGCTGCCCGCCAGCAATGTTTTACTGTGTATGTGCCCCACAGTGTATCTGCAAGTGTAATCTGTTTTTGGAATCCGACTACGCCGCGGATGTATCTGGCTCACTCACACACACTCGCACTGCGGGGCAGCAGCTTGTACACGCATGTACAGACATAACCGCACTCGCGAGTGGTGTGTGCATGTTGCAAATGACTAGGCGCCCAGCAAGCATCGCACTTGGCCCGAAACGGGTTCTAGATACATTTCGGCTGCGAGTATCTCTGCGAACGCATCTACAGCCACGGCCACGTAAAACCAGCTGAGCTAGAACAGCGAACCGGGCTCCAAACAGACAGACAAACAGACAGCAGCAATTATGTGCAGAGCTGGAACTGAAGACCCCGACTACGTTTAGTATTTCACGCCGCACTGAAGATACAGATACACAGATGCACTCAAAGAAATGGGAAAGAGCTTGAAATCTTTGGTTAATTCCAAAGGGAAAATGTAAGGAAACTCATGTTTGTCTCTCCAACTCAAGAGGGGTTTCCTATAGACTCTATTCCTACTCGCTTAAAATCAAAAATTCTCACGACTTTTCTTCGAGTGAGGCTTGCAACAGAGGAGTCGAAAAATATACAAATATGTGTAATCGTCGAACAAACAAGACACGAGCTTCTCCAGTGGCATCTGTTGGAGGAAGGAATAGCATTTACTGCCTTGCTAAATCTGGGCGCCTAGTCCAATCTGTACATCTTCATTTTTCCATTTACCAAAGCTGGCCAACTATATCTGAGTATCTGTGTGTGCCTTTATGCATTTGTCATGCCAACAACTTTCTTTATGGCAGCCTGCAGACGATGCAGCCAGCCACCGGATAAAAAATAAAAAATAAGCCAACTGGTGGCAGTCAGCGGAAAAGCACTTAAAACCGTTCGTTCCTCTTTTCCCAAACAGCTGCTTCGGGAAATGTAGTATCTTTCAGATGCAAATACAGAAATTGCAACGCCATGGCCATATCAGGCGCCATATATCTAAAACGAATCTCGGCAAAACTAACTGAGAGAAATGCACTTTGGGTAAATAACTTTTTAAACAGCTGCAAACACACTAAGAGCAGCTTCCCGTTCCCATTCCCGGCCAGGTAATGTTTGATACAAAAGCCTTCAGAAACAATTAAGTGGAAAACATTTATTTATTTATAGGCAAACCGGTTTTCCACAAGCTCCCCAGCTAGTGGATAGAATACAACAAAATAAGCGATGGGGAATGCGAGAGACGAGCGTGGTTTATGTGTAACGAAAACGAAATGAAAAACTCAAAATCAAATCGAATGAAAAATTCCACAGGTAAAGTACAGTTCGACTCACGGCTTGAGGACGATAACTGTGGTTCTATAATGTACGTAAATCATATAGTAATCTTGTTAAAAACTTAATATAATGCCTAAGAAAATGAAGTAACAGTTTTATTTGCCTTTAAGTTGTTTAATTGTTGTTTCATAAAGCAACAATCACAGATGTGTATGAGCCAAAAGATAATATTTGCTAATTGATAATGAAATCTATGATATTGATATTCCAGTTTGGTTACTTCAAACTTCCCTATATAACTTCCAAGAAATATTTTTAAAGTTTACCAAGTTCTGGCCACAAAGACTGTGTGACCCATGCAAATAAATGGCCCAAGCTAATATATTGATGACCAAAATGTTGCCAAATCAATGAGGGTTGGATATGTTTTCGGGTTAGCCAGGTGTTAAGCCAAGTTGTGCGGCGACTATTGCGCTCACTTAGGCAAACTCACTAAAAGCGGTGCGACGCCATTTTAGATTCTTGCTGGCTGTTTTCGTAGCTGTTGTCGAGTTCGAGCTGTGTCAGGTACGCGATTACTACCAAATGATGTCATTGCCGTCGCTCCGCTCTTGTTGTTGTTGTTGTTGCTTGGCTCTTTGTATATGTTCAATAGCCAGACTGCCGGTTAAGTTTTTCACAAGCGCCCCCGTTCCAGTTTCCTTTTCCCCCCGCGCCAAATGCCGAAAGGCACCTGCTTTGGTTCAGGTTTCGGAGGCGGGGGCCTGAAAAGCCAACAGCAGCAGTTGGAGAAAGACAGGAAGGTTGGTTGGCCCGGCCCGGGTAAGCAGGTTGAACCTCAGGCCCATTGGGGCAATGCCAGGCGATAAGGTGATTACTCGGTATCTTATCTCAGAGCGTGACTAATTGGCCCAAAATGAATGGGGCCAGTTGGGTCTGTGAATGGTTTGTGGGTAGGTGGTGGTGTGCCAGCGAAGAAGCCAATTTTCTGGCCACATTGAGTCAATTGTGTCTCCTTGAGGTAGGTTCCAGTAACTCAACGCTGAGGAGCTCTTATCGAGGAGTTGCATATTGCAAATTACTAGTCGAGGAGAGGAGTATACTAAAGTTAAGGAGACCCTTTTTAAATAATTGCTGAAAATGCAGGAAAATGCAGAATTTAAAGTAGCATTTTCCCATTCAATTGACAACTCCGACTGATGAAGGCAAACAAATGCCAGAAGATTCAAACAGATTGTCGTTGAGTCTAGTAACGAGTCTATTGAGGTCGGTACACACAAAGAAAATGTTAATTTTTCACAAATAAAAGTAAGTATTATGGTATCTTTAGACAGTATAGCAAACCAAGATAACTAAGGAGCAATTCCATCTAATTTAAATATTTTATGGGGTATCATATGGGAAAGAAACTGAACCTGATTACATTTCTATTATTTAACCACTTTAGACTCTATTTTTTTTTTGCGTGCAACTCTCCCCACAACTCGTCGATGCTATGACAACGCGGAAATTGTGTACCGCTCTCAACAATCCAGAAAAAGGGTTGAGAACGGCTCGCCATTCCATCAGCAGAAGCTAAACTGAAGCAACAATCACATCCGCCGCCATTCGCTGTCATTCGTTTAGCATTCAACCGAACTCAGAACATCATCATTATATGGGGAGTCTTGTCGTCCATTGTGGTTGCTCTACTCCGGCTCTCTTGCTGCAGGAAAGCAACATGTGGCCGTTGAACGTTGCTCCAATAAATGCTGCCTCTGCATTTGCATTAGAAGTTCATTAGTGAATGCGGTTGTGCAAGGGGAAAAACGGGAGGGAAATATTGCAGGAAGACTCGCTAAAGGCCTAATGACAGACGGAAAGCTGGTGGCTGACCGCAAATGAATTGCAATTCTGCAACAAGATATTAGGCACCGCCACCCACCACCACCACTTGTTGCTATGTCAACGAGGCAGCCACTGTTTATGCTTGTTTACTTGTTGTTTATTTACCAGCCGCCGGCGTTGAGGAAGACCTCAGGCTGACACAGCCAAATAAATAAGCAGAATTATTCACATCCCAATCGATATAATCCGCAGAGGCGCGAGAGCGAGCCACACCCAATTTGTGGCTATTATCGGAGCACTTGGCCACTAATTAGAATGCTGCACATGCCGGAGTCTTTGATCTGCCTTTGCCTGGCCTGCCTCTCCCGGCGACCCGCGTTGCGTAATTGCAGATTCAATTATGCATGTACTCTCTCCATTGTGGCTGCACTGTCAAAGAACCCCGGCCAGAGTTAACTCGGCCCATCGCAGCCCACTGCGAGCGTCTTTTCCCCGTTCCCCATTTCCCCGCATTAATTAAAGACTTCCGTTCGGCCGGGGGAACCTCTTTTGTCGTAATTGTTGTCTTGGTAAATGGCGATGCTCCAGCAGATAGCTGGCTGGCTAGCTGGGCTGACCAAAAGAGAATGGCCCTGAGTGCGGCCACTGAGGGAAGGATGAGGCTGCGGGAAGAAGGACTGGCCCTGGGTGGGGTCAACGCACCCGGGGATGCAAATTACGTGCCGAGCCATCAACCCCTTGAGCTTAGGACCGACCGACCGACCGACCACCGCGGCGGAGAGACAAGTTTGCAAACATAAACCTATCACCGCCAGACAAGGCCGTTCTGTTCAGTGTTGTCGCAGATAACCAAGGGGTTTGAGCAGATCAAACAGTCTATATCGGAATGGCCAGGCATTTACTTATTTTCCTATCAACTCTTTTCTTGGAAACAGATCTAGATTGAGGGGAATACAAACAGAGACATCTTTGTCTTAACTTTAATTTGCATTTCACTTTCTTATGAAACATATTTGTATTAAATTCTTATTGAAATTCTCTTGTTTTTCTTGATTTTGTTTCGCAACAACCCTGGTATCTGTATTTTTTCCAACATAAACACTGCATCTATTAATATTTAATTTTCATTTACCATCTACCCACTAAATTCCCACCCCAACAGAGCCTGACTTGACGAATTTATTCAATTTCCCACACACTTTGAACTATGACATTTGCAGGTTAGCACCAGCTCCCAGCCAGGTTGTTTTTCCCGGGTCGCGGTATACAGTCGAACTTCTTAAACTTGAACTTTTCCAAGAGGAAATACTCGCACAGCTGTAACAAATGCCTTGTAGCAGCGATGGGCATACTCTTGAGTATAAATATTTGCGTAATTAACATATATTAACTATAGAAACTAACTATATAATATGGTTCGTCTCTTTAAGTAACCTTTTCCAACTGAGAATCAATATTTTGGTGCCCCCTAATTCCCCCGAGTTCCCCAGCAATCACTACTCACCTTGGGCAAGTCTCGAATGTGGTTGGCGTCCAGGAAGAGCTCCTCCAGGGTGCGCGAATAGCGCAGGATCTCCTCAGGTACCTGCGGTAGGGAGCAGTGGCGCTTGTCCACGAACTCCACCTGCCGGTTGCAGCCCTTGAAGATGGGAATGCACTTGAACATGCTGCTCGTCTTCGGCCGCTGCGGCTGCTGTTGCTTCTTCTTCGACGTCGTCTTGATTGTTTTTGTTATTCGGGGGGGTCAAGAAGGAGGGGGGTCGCTGCTGTTGCCGCCTTTACTTCGTATTTTTTCGCTGTTGTTGTCTTTAAACTTGGCTCAAATCACGGACACTGATGGACATTGCCAGACACTTTTGCACGGACCTTGCTCTATCGCTCACGTTTCGCCCACATTTTCACGCACAATTTTCAAGAGGGGTGGGGGCTGCAAATTTTATATTTTGTAATTTTTTTCTTGATTAATTTCGAGCATTTACGCATTACGTGGCGGGCGGCCTTACGTTACGCAAAAACGTAGGCCTGTGCCTGGCCTTGCCCATTGCTTTGTTGTTGCGGCTCACTGGAGTTTGTTTGAGCGCGCGCGAGAGAGAGTTTAAGCACTCGCTCGCTCTTTCGCTCCCTCTTTTGATAAAAAGGAATGTGCTTGTGTGCGTGTGCTGTTAATAAGCGAAATAATGAATAATAATCAATTCTAATTGTCAATTGGCTGGAATGCCATAAAACGCATTTCATCACGTAGTTAGTTGGCAACGCGACGCAACGGAGCGCATTTGTTGCTTCCTTTTCTTCTCCACACACGCACACACAGACACACACTCGACACTCGAAAACGTTAACAGCGAAGGGGTCTAGAATGGAGGAATTGATGAAAGAAACTTAAGCGGCACAAAAGCGGAAAATTATTATTAACGCGACACACCCAAACAGACACACGCACACCAAGCCGGGCCTTGGAATTGGAAATGCTTTTGGGTGCTATTTATCAATTTAGAACCACTGTGCAAGGCGGCGTATGTTTTGGAATTTACAAGCAAGCACACACACACACGCACGTTGCGCTGCATGCTGCGCAACAACAAAACGCTGGTCATAGGCGGCAAAAAAATCTACAACAACAATGGCAGTAAGCCAAGGAGAGGGAGAGAGAGCAAGCGAGTCAGACGAAAGGCAGAGGGAGAAAGAGATTTGGCTTTTTTTCAAGTTTGCTCAGTTGCCTATTCGCCCATTTTCGCTTTTTTTTTGCATTTTATCGCGTTTTTCGCACACCTCAACCACTTACAAAGTGCAGAGCGCGTAACCGAGTATTTACTGTAGCAGGCAAAAGGAGCCACAAATAAATCACACGAGACACAAACTCACACGCACACACGCCCACGCAGCGTCTTTAGTTTACACGAAATTAAACGGAAAAAGCAGGCGAATTTGTTTTAAGATTTGCAAGAAAAAAACAGGATAAATCACGAGCGCGGCCGCAAGCGCCGTTGTTTCGTTTTTCTTTTTTATTTCATCCGCGCGCAACAACAACACCGTTCGATTTTATTTTATAGAATGTGGCCAGAGTCACTGTTCCATATCAGCCATAGCCAGGTCAGCCAAAGTTGGTATTTTTCTAGTATATTATCCACAGCCAAAGAGAAGGACGGTCTCTCTGCTTTTAAGCTAACAGCTATTTTGGCTATTTTATAGATCAATTTGCAATTTTTTAATCTAAATTTAATGATTTTAAGACTAATAAGAGGTCATATAGGCTTCATTATAACTTGCTATTTTGCTTTTATTATTATTATAATTATATATTTGTAATGTGACTAAAGATCGACGATTTCAAAAAGTTACCAAAACAAAGCTTGCAATCCACAAAATTCTACTATGCATTTCGGTGGACTTTGTGGACGTAAAACTGAATAAATATATTTGGAAGCGTAAATTCATCATTTAACTTACCAATATTATACTATATTATAATTAACACCAAAACAAGTAATTTTTAGTTACTTTTTCAGTGTTAAAACTTTGTCACATGAAACATTATATATATTATATTTCTGGACTTTTTTAGCTACAAGAAGCTAAAACAAAAAATCGAAACTAAATAAACATATTAAATCGTACTGTGAAACCATTTAACAAATTTTCCTTCTACTGAGCTCTATTAATTTTGTAATTAACCTTTTTAATCATTAGAGAAATATTTATGGCCCCGCTCTAAAACCTGGTATTACTTAATGAATTACTAGTGGATTGAAACTTTCAACAGAAGTGTCATAAAAATTTTTATGTAAAGGCCTATTGTGCTATTAAATTTTAAATAAACTTCGAATTTAATATTACTAAAAATGTTTTTTAATGTCTGCAATGAATTGAATTTTAGTCATTGTGCTATAAATATAAATACACAAAATATAACATCCCGTGTGACCGAATTATGTAATTTAAATGTCTAAAATATATTTATATATTTTCTTAAACTACTTTCCAAACCTTAAATCGCCCTCAATGTGCTGTGTATCTTATATAGAATGTAATTATTTACGGCTTTGGTGGAAACAATTTGGACAAATACGTACCATTTTTTGTAAAGCTTTTACTGCAAAAATATATTAATATCAGCATTAGCTATAATGAATATTATTATTATACTATCCTAAAAACAAAAAGATTTTTCTATAATTATTCAACTGTTATTGCCTTTTTTTGTCGGCAGCACTGATTTGAAGAAGAAGCAGGAGCAGTGCTGCCATTTTAGTTGGCATCACTGATTCGGAGAAGAAGAAGTAGCTGTGTTGCCAGTTTAGCTTATTTCCTAGCTTATTTTTAAATATCAAATTGAGTATGCATATATAATAATCTGATAAAAAAAATAACATATAACTGCTTTGCGAATTAAAGTTAATGTTTCTGTGTCTTAGTTATAATTTAAACAACTTTAATATGTCCATGTCATATATAAATATCGATAAGCTGAAAGTGTGTATAAACTTTCGATTCCCAAGGCTTGTTTATTTTCTTTTTTTTTTATTATAATTAATATATTTTTTTATATTTGTAAATAGAGACATAACATGGTTAACATGGCAGGAAAAAGCTCAATCATCATTCCCTTTAATTGTTTTGTCTTTAAGAAATAGTTAAACAAAAAAATAAGAAATTCTACAATTATTTCATAATAATATCAGAAGTAGTTATTATACCACTTAGAAATTGAAACAATAAAATAAACTACTTACTTTTTATCTTTTGAAATGTAAATCCAGAAAAAAATGACCCAAATGTCCTATTACACATTTGCCGTTTGACTGATTTCGAAACGTTTTCGATTAAGACCGGACAGTGTTTGGAGGATTCCTGTTACCATCAAACTGCATTATTATGAATTCTTTTAATTGATTTATTTCATTTTTTGTTTTTATAATAACACTTTTGTTTGTATTTATTTAATTTATTTTAGCTTTATCTTATTTTATTTGACATGTTTCTGTACACGTCACCTGGTCCCACTTAAAGGAACATTGTAGCGGCTAGGGTGGAAAACTTAGATAAGGAGTACCGAGCTTTAAACAAATTCCTCCAGATGGCGGCTATAGGTGATGTGTCGCAGTGGCGTTCTGTACCGGTATCTAGCGTAACAGTATGTAAATTACATGTAAGATCGTGTTCAACTCCTTTTATTTTACATGCAAATGTTAGAAATTAACCAATTGAAAATAAAATTTTTTAATACATTATAAATGTTTTTAGGACATTTTTGGTATAATTAGTATTGAGTTTAAGCTTTATTATGTGCTGAAAACTACTTCCAGAGAGTAGACAATGCACAATAGAAGAATTGTAGAACTATATACATAAATAAAGTGCAACTTTCCGTCCGTTTGTGGTTTGTCCCTGCAGCTGTTTTTCTTGTTTTTGTTGTTGTTGTTGTTTTTCCATCCTAGTTGCAACTCTGGTGGGGCCACTGACAAACACAGCTGTCGAGTGCGGCGCTTAAATGGCAAGTAAACTGCAGCCGAGCGTTTGCTTAGCTAATTTTGCAGGCCGCCTTTTGGAGGAGCACAGCCCACGGCGCCTCCTCTTCTTGACAATTGTGTGGGCGTGGCAGGCGGCAAAGGTGCCAGGGCGTGGGCAGTGGGCGTGGCTGTGCACTTGCTGCTTATTATTTGCTTTTGGCAAGGCCAACAGTGGGGTGGGGGGAGGGGTCTAGCCTCTTCTGAGGCTGAATCGGAAAATCTTTTATTCATGAATGCCGCGCCATAAAAATTGCACAATTTGAAGCCCCCTCCCCCCCTCCGCCACCACGTCCAAGTCGGAGACGTACGTATGTCCAAAAAAAAAAAAAACTGAGAAGAGAAGAAGAATTTACGCGCCTTGGGCGGCTCTCTCAAGGATTTCGGCAATGGCTCTCCTGGTTGTCCCCCCCTCGCCAACTCCTTCTGCCGCACGCTGCAGGCGATAGTTGCATAAATCATAAAAGCCCCTTTCGCTGTTGTCCTTGCCCCTCCCCCTCCCTTTCTCCTCTCTGGCTGCTCCAACTCCGCTCTTCGCTTCCTGGGCAGGACTTTACGACACTTAAGCAGCGCAAGGGGGCGGGGTGTGTGGGGAGAGGCGTTGAGAGTGTCTCCAAATGTCTGAATTTGATTGCGCGGCCACAACAGCGGCTTGAGGAGTCCCCAACTCCCCCCTTTGGGTCCTTCCCGCCTTCCCGCCCGCCATTTAACGGGTTCAACTCCCCTCGATATACTTCGCACACTTATTTATGAAGGTCTAAAGGTGTCCTAAAAAATTCACCTGCTTAAGCCTGTTTCTTTCTTTTTTTGGTTGAAATTTTGTAACTGAGCTGGAGAGAGTAATGTTTTTAGGTTTTTAAATTTGGGTAAAATAAAGGATATTTGGCCTCAAGTTTTTGGGATTTTAACTCTTTTTAAATAAAGAACAGTTTAGAGGAAACCATTTCAAATTCAGCTATTTATTTTGTTATATTGTTCATTAATATAACAAAATAAATAGCTGAATTCGTAGGGATTTTCCTTTAATCCAAAACTGTATGGTTACTTATAAGAAATATATATGTATGGTACTTATAAGAAATACAATTTTTCTGAATTATTATTGTTAAAAATGTAAGCCAAAATACTAAATACTTAATACTACTACTAACAAGAAAGAAGCTTACCTTGAGAAGTCGAAGTGTGTATACCCTTCCAGTTACTCATAGGATCATAGGTTCGAATGTTAATTTGTTAATAACTAACCCAAAAATGAATTAATTTCAATTCGGAAAGTTGTTCTGTGCTAGTTTAAATAGGGTTAAAAAATCTACATACTGATTTTATAATTTTTTTCAATTTAAATTTTTGTCAATTTTCACAAGTATAATAATATAAAAATTTAACGATAAAATTTTGAAAAAAAAAAAAAAATTGTCTACCAAATATGGCTATATTGAATCTGCTGTTCATGCTGATCAAGAATATATATAATTTATAGGGTCGGAAATAATTCTTTCACATGATACAAGCTTCCGACTAAAATAAAAATAGCCTTCTTTGAGTCGTTATTTATCTATATTTTATATGCCTATTTTGTCTATAAATTAAATTTAAAAAAATTCATAACTATGCCAAAAATGCATTAATTTTAATTCGGAAAGCTGTAATATATTAGTTTTTATTAGGTTTATAAATCTACATACTCAATTACAAAATTAACAAATTTTTAATTTTTACTAATTTTTTACAGTTTGTATGATCATAAAATTTCGAAAAAAAAATCGATAAATTTTTTTTCGTGTTGGACATGGCTAAATCGACTCGGCTGATCATGCTGATCAAGAATATATATGATTTATAGGGTCGGAAATGACTCCTTCATTGGATTTAACGGGTCTGACTGAAATTATAATACCCTGTAAAGGTAGCCAGGTGCACGGTGTAAGCCAACAATAGTGAACATTTACCAAGGACAGGCCTTTAAGGGGAAACTTCTGATACCGTTCTCTCACTTCAAATAGCTATAGCTGCGATAATAATCCGATAAATTTATAACATTCTGAAAAAAATTATACAAAAATTTCCAGATACTATCATTCTTTAAGTTAGATTCCTTGAGTTTCTACTTATTGCCAATGGAAAAACATATTTATTAATAATTTTTACATATAAAGTGAAACTATATATTGGTTTATACCAATAGGTATTATAATTTTTATTGAAATAGTCATATATGTTAAATGCAGTTGCTAAGCCCCTCCCTCCCTGGACTCACTTTTCCGATGCAAGGGCTTAATTGGCTTTAGCTCAGAAAATCCATTCACCTTCCTTCATTCGGTCGAGGACCATGTTTTCCCCTCTCTCAGCAGGAGTAGAAGGAAAAGCCGGGGTCAGGAGGGCCACGCACTTAATTTATGACTCGCCGTGCAATAATTCAAAGTCATAGGCCTCCAGAGACCATTCAGGGAGCACTCGACCACTCATTCGCTCAAGGGGCTTCAAGGAGGCTGGAGATGGAGATGGAGGCGGAGATGGAGACTGAAGCT